CCCCCCCCCCCCCCCCCCGCCATGCAATCCTGATTTAAAGGCCCCCGCCTGAGCCCGGGACAAGAGACTTAGATCCATGTGTGTTTGTATGTGTGCCTGCTACAGCCGACAGACTACACCAGGCCACATTTGGACAAGGACTTTTTGTTGATGGTGGTGGTGGATTTTTTTATTGTTGTTTTGGTTTTTATTTGTTTGTTTGAGGCAGAGTTTTGGGCATCCCAGGCAGACCTTAAACTTTCTGTGTATCTGGAACTGTCCTTGATGTCCTAGTCCTCCTGCCTCCGCCTCTCAGGTGTTGGGGTCTGGTCCGCTACTCCAGACTTGGCTGGTGGCTTTGGTAAGGGGCTGCAGGTCTTTGTTTGCTCAAGTCTGAGTCGGGAGAGTGTGTGGGGTCAGTCTCGGCTGTTTGGTTGTACTCCTTTGGGGGAGGGGAATGTCAGTGATCTTATAAGATTTCCAGACGGCTAAGTCTAAGTAAATTTAATCATAGCAGCGTGACTCTGAAGGAAGTGATAGTGTTAAGATTGTCCTTTTTGCCTCCCTGCTTTAAAAATAACAGCCAGCTATAGATTCTTCAGAAAGCCATCCCAGGGAGGAACCCTGGGAGAGCTGGGAACGCTTGTATTTTCCTCAGCACCTGGCTTGTTTCACTATAAGGGCTCCATGAGTCATGCAGCAGGTTGTGCCTCCATCTTCCTATTGCCTGCCCGTGAGCTGAGAGCCAGATTCACTCACCCTACCCTGGGAGGAAGGTGAGGGCTTATCTTCTGTGGTGGGAGTCTGCTTAGGCCTCCCGTGAATCTTGCTGACACAATCCTATGAGTTGCTATTAATGACTTTTTTCTCATATGATAAATTCTTCCAGGCTCAGCTCTTAAAAACAGCACAAAACCTGTGACCACATTTTGTACAGCAGCTCATCTTTCCCTGTCTTCATTGAGTTTGTCTTATAGATGTCTTCTCATTCTGGAACAAGGAGGGAAGTGGATGAATGGTGAATTTCTTACGAGGGTGTCAAGTTTGTGGCTTGTCCCAGCTGACTTTGGACCTCTCTCTTCACTTTTTCTTAGTAGTATGACTGCTTTGTCAGGGCTTGGCCAAAGTCAGGGAGGGAGCATATACAGACATCAAGAAGACCTTGGTGTTTTAGCTATTTGTAAGGCACAAAACTGAAGGAGAGGTGGAGTTGAAAGCAAATTCTAAAATGTCCCAGTGGATTTATGGGCATCATATTAGGATACCCAGGTCCTGGCGTTAGTAGATAATTGGAGTCAGTAGTCAAGCTTCAAACGGTAGATGGCCCACTACCCAGAGCCTGAGTTCTATCAAGGAAGGGTCCTCTGCAGCCCAGCACTGCAGAGCCTGCACTGCTCACAGGTCCTCTGAGCTTGGGGAGGACTGATCTCATCAGTGTGCTCGAGCAAACCCTGGGGGAGCCCAGCTTTGATGCGTCTCAAATTCGAACAGGAATCCAAAGCTGCTGAGGGCTTGTGAAAGCAGGACACTGGGCCCCACCCCAGAATCTCCCTCCCTGCCTACCTCACTCCCAGTGAGACCTCTGTTGATGAGCCTGGAGCCACCCTTCAAGAGCCATAGGCTAAGTTGTTAGTTGTTCTTGCTGATGCTTTAGCTGGACCTTGCAGACTCAGAGCCTGGTAATTTACACTCTTCATGATAAGCCAGGAAGTAAGATATTTAAAGAGAAAGAACCAAAGCAGAAATCAGTTATCGAGTTCTGTTCTGAGAGGAAAAGGGGCCAGCAAGTTGGCTCAGTAGGTAAAAGCTTTTGCTGTCAAACCTGAGTGTAATCTGAAAACCCTCAGGGTGAAAGAGAAACTGACTTCCACCAGTTATCCTCTGACCTCCACACGTACACCATGGCACACTCACTTCCCCCAAATGTTTTTAAATTTAAAAAAAATATATTAATGTGTATGTATTGGTGTTTTCCCTGCATGTATGTCTGTATGAGGGTGTCCATCGGGTGTCCCAGAACTAGACTTAAGGTTGTGAGCTGCCATATGGATGCTGGGAATTGGACCTGGGTTCTTTGGAAGAAGTAGTGTTCTTAACCTCTGAGCTATCTCTCCAGCCCTTTTATGACCCCTTTTTTGGTTTGGTTTGGTTTGGTTTGTTTTTTTTCGACAGGGTTTCTCTGTGTAACAGCTCTGATTGTCCTGGAACTTGCTTTGTGGACCAGGCTGGCCTTGAACTTGGAGATCCTCCTACCTCTGCCTCCCTGAATACTGAAATTAAAGGCATGTGTTACTACCACTTGGCTTTTTTCCTTTAAAAAAAAAAAAAGGAACAAGAAAGTTTAGCTTGGTTAGTCAACTTAGTTCCCCCCCCCCACACACACACCCTTTTTTGTCTCTAGTGAAAACTTTGAGGTGCTTTCTCACAGCGATGGCGATGGTGGGGAAGGAGCTGGTCAGGAAGCCAGCACCGTGCCAGCACTGGTGTCCTCAGCTCACCCTTCTGTGGGGAATATGATAGTCCCTCTCAGAGAGAGTGCTGTGGCAGTCTTATGCTGGTCTCCTGACAGGGATCCCTAGACAAACCTGGGTCCCAGGCCTGCCCTTGGGGGCCGTGTCCTGATAAGCCTGCTGAGCTGAGACCTGTCCAGGCACCAAACAAAGGCAGTGCTGTCGGGTCCAACTACAGCCGTGCTGAATGGTGTCTGCAAGCCCCTCCTATAAGGCATTGGCAGCCCTCGCCCTTTAATGTGGTCAGAAACACTTCTCACCCTCCCCTAAGATCTGAGCTAGATAGACAACTTAGTTCAGTGTTTGAAAGGAAACTCTGTTTCTTTTTCCATGAGGGAAATGCAACAAGGAGACTTTTAAGACATCTAAGTATCGGCAGAACATGGTGCATGCCTCTAACCCCAGCCCTTAGGCATCTAAGGTCATGAGGACTGTGAGTTCCTAGATCAGCCTAGGCTACATAGTGAGACTCTGTCTCGGAAGGAAGGGAGGGAGGGAGGGAGGGAAGGAGGGGGAAGGACGGAGAAAAGGAGGGAGGGAAGGAAAGGAAACCATCAGTACAGAGTAGGGAGAGCACTTTGACCACTGATTTTCCCATAAGACATTCGTTAAAGGCAAGATAGACATAGGTATTAGAGAAATTATAGATTAACGGGAACTAATCATTGCCAACCTTTGTACCACTGAGCTGCATCCAAGATCAGTGCCCTTGTGCACTGGGTCCTGGGGTACAGTGATTCATCACAGTGGAGCAGATGAGATGAAGAATGGGGTGTCTTAAAAGTGCAGTCATTGGGATAGCATTATGCCTTATTAAATGTCATGATCAAACGGAACTCACTGCAGAATACAAGGACTTGACTTGTATTTTTAAAGTCTGTTTAAAAAGCCTGCCCACGTCGGTGCCAGAGGATGGCTTAGCAGAGTGCTTGCTCTGCAATCCCAAGGGCCAGAGTCTGGGTGTCAGCATCTACAGAGCAAGCCAGACATCTTGCAAATGCCTTTAATTCCAGCCGCAAGGGATCTGATGCCCTCTGACTTCCATATTCTCACAGGTGTGCACACTCATACAAACACACACATACATAGAATAAACCAATCCTTTAAAAAATACCATGTTAATTGATTAAATTAAAGATGATTAGTCATCTGTCTTTCTAGGTGTTAAAAATTCATTTGCTAAGTTAATTGATGCCGAGCTAAAGGCCCTCAATCCTAAAGGGACTTCCTCAGTGTACCCTTCAAAGGAAGGACATCTTTGTCTCAACTCCAGCCACCTTCATACAGAGAGATGGCTGGAAACACTCTCAGTGAAGTCCAGAATGAGCAAAGATGCCCTAGCATGTCAGGAGATCTGTTAGTACAGATAGACTGGAAGAGTATGCAGGCCAAAATGGCAAGGGATCCTTGTCTGCAGAGGACTGTTGGAGGAGGGAACTTGTTGGTTCCCGGCCGCCCCGCTAGCTTAGACTCGAAATAATCACAAGAAACTGTACTAATTAAATCACGGCTTGGCCCACTAACTCCATCTTCTTATTGGCTAACTCTTATATTAATTTAACCCGTTCTATTAATCTGTATATCACCATGAGGTCATGTCCTACCAGCAAAGTTTCAGCACGTCTATCCCCAGCAGCGGCTCCATGGCGTCTCTCCAACTCCGCCCTTCTCCTCCCATGCTATAGGCTAAGCCAGTTCTTTATTCATTAACCAATAAAAGCAACACACAGACAGAAGGACCTCCCACACCAGAGGATAGTGAAGAGCTAGTAAAAAAGATGACTTTTATGTTAAAGAGGTTTACTGAATTCTTCCGTCACACTAAGATCCTTGACATACATTATGAAGCCTGGGTGGTAGAGAGCTATCTCAACATCCGGTTTACATATGAGAAGACTGAGGCCTGCCAAGCTCAGTAATGTGGCTAAAGTCATATAGCGAGAGAGTGGCTGTCTGACCATCAGTCTGTATTTGAACCAGCCTTGCCCCTATAGTTGTCCCAGGAAGTAGGCACATACAGGGGACTAGGGGGAGACCTTGTCTGCTGTATGCCAGCATTTGTGTTTGGCAGAGTTGCTCTCCTAGCATCCTTGTATTCAGAGGTTAGTGTGGGGGGTGGCTGTAAGAGACCAATAAGCACCCCTAACACACACACTTTTGTTATTTGTATATTGAATATATTGAATTTATAAATAGTTAACTCAGGAGACCTTGACTGTAGTGCTGGGTGCAAATGCCTATGGGTTCAAGGTCAGAAGGAGTCGGGTACTAACTGTCCTTCTGTCTGGACAGAGACAGACCCATTGGACAAGAGAAAAGGAGTGGCGTGTAAACGAGGCCTGGGAACCTGGGTACACTGTGGCCAGTTGCTGCCTTTTCTCTGCCAGCACAGTAGCCAGAATCCCAGGCTAAAGCACCCTGCGGCCCAGCCTCTTAAGTCGCGTGCTCTCTGCATATTTACCGTGCTGATGTGGCTTCTGTCTCCTCTCTAGGTATGGAGAAAAGGGGAAAGCTATCCGGATCGAGAAGGTCATCTACACAGGGAAGGAGGGGAAGAGCTCTCGAGGTTGTCCCATTGCCAAGTGGGTAAGTGTTGGATCCCCACAGCTAAGCTATGCCTGGGTGTTTCTTGTCCCCTGGGCCCACATGGCCCATGCAGGGCCAGTGAGTAGAAAGTAAACATATTTACCATCATGGGGCCCTGGAACCAATGACCCTCAGTAGCAGCTGATTGTCTTTGTCCTGCTTCCATGCCAGCACCAGGCACCCTGTGCTGTCAGGAACTGTGTGTGACCTCTGGGAAAGGGCTGCGGATACAGGAAGGCAGGAGCTGGCGATGTTGCTGACCTAGCCCATTATTGGATCCCGCCCGTTACCCTGCCCCGAGGATTTTGTTTGGTTCTTCTTTTCTGTGTGTCTAAGTGGCTGGTACTCTTGTCTCCTACCTGGGAGCCAGGGAAGGCTGACCAGTGTGAGCCAAGCTGAGGGACAAGACGAGGCCTCTCGATAGTGTTAAGATGAGGCTTGCTTCCGCCTGGGCTTCTTGTCAGGGAGAATGTCACTGACACAGTCCCCAGTTCACTCAGCCTTGTCCTTCTGGGGCTCACATGGCTCTTGAAGTCGTGGGTATCTGTTGTTGCTGAGCTGGCTTAGAATAAGCTGGCCTCTAGGTAACTGGTCCATGTGGAAAACAGTCTCTATATTCAGTGCCTTGGGCACCCTGGAGGCAAGGTCCCAGAGACCTGGAAACACAAGGCTAACCAAGAGACAGCTGTGCTGCTCCTCCTGCTCTAGGACTTGAGGGATGGGGCTGGACAAATGCTGAGGCTGGCTTGGCCTGGAACACAGCGCTAGGAGTGAGTCGAAACATTTCCGGTGAGGAGGGTCCACATGCAAAGGCAGGAAGGCCGCAGGAATGTCCATGCGGCTGACTTGGGTGTCGCCTGCACACTCAGCCATCTTTTCTCTGGGACTCCTTGCCTCTGCATCTCTGCATTTAGTGAAAATAACAGCTGCCTGGACTTAAATTACCACATACTTGTCTTCAGCATTTCCTAAGCGTTATTGTAGGACTTTTCACAGCGAAAGAACCTGGTGCTTCTTAGGAAGTGTGAAGCATGTTGCCTCCACCCCCAGGGGAGGTGACCCTTTAGGTAAAGGTCTAATGTGGTGGGGTGCTGCCTACCTCTTCAGAGAACCCACCTGGGAAGTGACATTAGCCATGGACGGTGAGCAGAGTTTGACCGTACACCTGGATTTAACCCTGGTCCAGGGACAACTGTCATATCAACCTCCTCCAGATACATGTCAGTGCCTATAGTGGGCCTCCCACAGGCTGCCAGGACCCAGGCAACCATGTGAGGAGTCCTGAAGTAACATTCAGCCCATTACCTTGTTTGTGTGCTCCTGAACTCCAAGACACAGTTTAATAAGTGATAGTTGATTGTTGCGGGGAAGTGGTGGATGACATCATTAGGACCCTGCCTTAGACCCTGACCTCATGATCCAGGCTGCATGTCATTTAGCATGCAAAATGCAAAATATTCTGTCAGGTTTGCAGGAACTGAGAAGTGCTAGTTGTCAAAGGATAGATTGCATATGATTCTACATATATGAGGTACTTCAGAGTCGGGTTACAGGGGCAGAAAGTCCATGCTGAAACCTGGGAATATAGCTCAGAAATAGAGTGCTTGCCTCGGACGCACACGCCTTAGGTACAATTCTCAGTGCAACCAAAAATAAAAGTCAAATCGTGAGGTTGGCAAGGTGGCTCAGTGGGTAAAGGCTTTTGAACATAAGCCTTGCCGTGTGAATTCTGTCCCTAGATCTTACTGGGTGACAGGAGAGAGCTGGCTCCCAAAGGTTATCCTCTGACCTACAAGGGCATGCACAAACACACTCAATGTTTACATTTTTTTAATTTAAAAAAAAAGTAGAAGGATGATATCGGGTAGAAGAGTATCAGAAGGGAAGAGTTGGCGCATTGGCGTTTTATGAAGTCTTAGCTTTATTGGGAGTAGAAGTTTTAGAGGAAACAGTAGGCATGCAGCACAGTGAAGGCGCTGAAAGCCACTAAAATGTACGCTAAACGTGGTAGATTTTATATTATGCGAAATTTTCATAGTAACATAAAGTGTGGTACTTGTGACTTTGAAAAGGCGTTTGAGGGCTGTTGAGATGGCTCAGAGGTTAGGACTTTCACTACAGTTAGAGGGGATCCAGGGCCATTTTTGGCCTCTGGCGGCTCTGTGCTCACGTGGTTCACATAAACTCACGAGTACACACAAACACACACACACATCCGTGTATAATGTACAAGGTACCATGGTGCACACCTTCAATCCCAGCGCCTGGGAGGCAGACAGACCTCTGTGTTTTCAAGGCCGGCATGGTCTACATACATAGTAAGTTCAGGACCACATAGTAAGATCCTGTCTCAAAGGAAGTATGGCACAGGCTATGTAAAACTCTTCGTTTTCACTTTTTCTTACAAACCAGAAAAGCTGGCTGCCCTAGGCTGGGTTCCCTGTGTGGTCAAGGAGAGCTAGACTCCCAGCTTTCAATGAGCGGATGCCCACCAGGCCCCGACCGTGTATCAGGCCTTTTCCTTGTTGGTGGTGTTGGTGGTGCCTACACCGCCACTCATTTCCGTGTAACCTGCACAGCGTCAGTGGCAGATATGACTGCATCTGTCTGCAGGCCGGGTCCTTCCCTGACCTTCACACCCACAGAACTGTGGGTTGTACGCTGATACCATACCTAGCTTTTTGAGGAAGTTCAGACTGTTTTCCCTAGTGCTGTACCCCGAGTGTAAGCACACAGAGATGTGCAGTGCGTTCTCTGCGAACGCGCCGGGACATCATACAACTCTTCACTATATTTCTGGCTCACAGGTTCATTTATTTTTACTTTTAAGTTTTTGTTGGTCACTAACATCTTTTGGATTTTTGAGACTGTGTCTGTGTGGCCCTGGCTGTCCTAGAACTCACTCTGAGACCAGGCTGGCCTCGAACTCAGAAATCTAAGTGCTGGGATTCAAAGCATGTGTCGCCACCACCCGGCGGTCACAAATGTCTTAGACTTTATCATAATTAGTTTCTATTTTTCTGTTTTAAAATTTTGTGTGTCTTCTTCCCGAATGGTACTGACATCAAGACCCACAGCTCCAGGTCTGTGGGGTAGTGAGGGGCACATACCATACAGAGCTGTGTGGGTGCTGCAGGGTAAAGCTCAGTCTTGCATCTCTGCAGGTGATCCGAAGACACACACTGGAGGAGAAGCTGCTGTGTCTGGTGCGGCATCGGGCAGGCCACCATTGTCAGAACGCCGTGATTATCATCTTGATTCTGGCCTGGGAGGGCATCCCTCGCAGCCTTGGAGACACCCTCTACCAGGAGCTCACTGATACCCTCCGGAAGTACGGGAACCCTACCAGCCGGAGATGTGGCCTCAATGATGAGTATGTGTTGGAGTGGCAGTGGGTGGATGATGGGACTGCAGGGTCCTGGGTAGCGGGTACTGGGATGCTGGGCAGCCCTGGGCTCTGGCCCCAGATCAACAGTAACCTCTCTCCATTGGATTTTCCTATCCTTTCATTGGGATGTATTTAGTTTCAGTAAAGTTATTCTTAAGGTATATAGTTTGGAGGGTTTTGTTTTATTTTTGATGAGACAAGGTCTTGCTATTGTATCCTTGGCTGGCCTGGAACTAGTTGTGTAGACTAGGCTAGCATTGAACTCAGGGAGACCTGCCTGCCTCTGCCTCTGAAGTACTGGTATTATTACCCCCAGCAGTTCGGAGGATTTTAGTAACTATCCATAGTCACATAGCCCAGTCAGGGTTAACAGTCGGGGTCCCTGAGATGGCTCAGTGGGGTTAGGCGGTTGTCAAGCCTGACAGTCTGAGTTCATTCCTCAGGAACAGTAGGAGAGAATGCCCCCCACACACACATGTGTCTACATGTGCAAGCACACGTGACTCCCTGTGCCCTTCACCCAGAACCCTTCCCCCAGCCCTCAACAACCATGTGTCTTTCCTGTCCCTTTAAGTTTGCCTCTGCAAGAATGTCACTGATAGACTCAGCATCACGTGACCTTCTGAACAGACTTATTTCACTGAGCATGAGTGTTCAGAGAATAACCTGTGTTGGAAAACTTGGAAGAGTCGTGGGGTGGAAAGAGAAGTCCTTGTCATCAGAGGCTGGTGGATACCAGTCCTCTGTGGGGGCAGGGCAGTGCCACCAAAGACAGATCACATTTGTATGCCTGGCCTGTCTTGTGTGTTGCAGCCGGACCTGCGCTTGCCAAGGCAAAGACCCCAACACCTGTGGTGCCTCCTTCTCCTTCGGTTGTTCCTGGAGCATGTACTTCAATGGCTGTAAATACGCTCGGAGCAAGACGCCACGCAAGTTCCGCCTTACGGGGGACAATCCCAAGGAGGTGAGGAAAGCCGTGCTGGGCACAGAGGTCCCCCTCACCCTCTCACCCCCCTGCCCCGCACCCTCACCAGCTCTGCAGTGCAGATGGGCAGAAATGTTTCCTTGCTTGGGATTTCCCAGCAGCCTTACCTGCTGGGAAAGTTTGTTTTCAGGTCATATGAAAACTGAGGACTTCCAGCTATGGGTCCTCAGACTCTTGCCACTTAGCAGCAGATTTGAAGAAATTATTCTGAATACTTCTGACAAAAATGCAGATCTTTCATCTGAATGTGATCTGGCCATTTCTTCTCTTCGTGGGACATTTTTTAGGGTGGAAGGATTATAGGAGGAAGGAGGACCTTCCTCTCTGTGGATGACTCTGAATCATTATTGGGCTTGGTGAGGTATCCCATCCTCCACTGGGCTGAGCAGACATTTTTGGCATCATACAGACTTTTAGATCCTTATTTGTTATTTTGTCTTTTTTTTTCCCCCAGAGCTGAGAACCTAACCCAGGGCCTTGCCTTTTCTAGGCAAGCACTCTACCACTGAGCTAAATCAATCCCCAGCCCCATATCTAGGCCCTTCTTGTTTCCGTGCTAAGGGCCTGTCCTGGTGCACTGGGTGGTAGCCCACATATACAGTCACTGTTATAATGAGGACCTCTGTATGACTTCTCACCCTGTTCTCCTTTCCTGGGCCTCTCTCTTATCCCCACCACAACAGAACAAGGGCCTCTGGGTCTCTACTGCAGCTTCCACCAAGGGCAGAAGATCACTGAGTGTCAGCTGAGGCCATCTCTCCACTGCCTTATTTTCTGTGCTCCATGCTGCCGTGGCCATAGCAAGAGGTGGTCTCAGAAGGAGCACCCTGTCTTTTCACCTCTGCTCCCCTCCCTTCCGCTTGTGCTCCTGTAGGAGGAGTCAGGGGACTGGCCCCTCTGTTAGAGTACAGGCAGGCATCCTGATGCCAGTCTTGGCCTTCCAGAGCTTGAAGATCCTAGTGCCAGAAGGACCTCCCACTCCCCTGGGGACAGGGACATCCACTGGACACCTCTTCTGTGCTCCATAGCCCATGTACACATCTTCCTGGCTTTGTTCTTCATAAGTAAAATGAACCACATTGAGGGATTAGAGAGATGGTTAAGAGAGCGCCATGCAGATAATCTTCCAAATGTCCTGCATTCGTGTCTGAACTCCAGCTCTAGGGGACAAAACACCTTCTTCTGGTTTCTGCAGGCGCCAGCATACCCATGCCATAAACACACACACACACATATAAATCTTTTTTTTTCTCAAATTCAGAACCTTTTCCCCAAAAACTTTTGTTTGTTTGTTTGTTTGTTTGTTTTGGGTTTTTGTTTGTTTTGTTTTTTGAGACAGGGTTTCTCTGTAGCTTTGGAGCCTGTCCTGGAACTAGCTCTTGTAGACCAGGCTGGCCTCAAACTCACAGAGATCCTCCTGCCTCTACCTCTCAATTAAAGGCGTACGCCACCACTGCCTGGCCCTCCCCCAAACCTTTTAGATAATTTTGTAAAATTAAAATAGACTCTTAATTTGATAGCTCTTTGTAAGCTAAGACCCCCTTCTTCTGAAGGGGAAAATGTGGCTGCTTCAGTAGGTTAAAGATCTCCAGGACCTATGACTTGTCAGGAATAAAAAGATAATGGCTTAGTTTCTCCGCAGACCATCCCTGGTCTGTCATCACCATGCCCTGAGCACTTGTGTTCTGGGTTCACACGCATCCCAGTTATCCCAGGACCACCCGTTTGCCCTGGCAGTGTTACTTGGCTTCACAGACAGGAGAGTGACTTGTTCAGACCCACGTGTGGTTCATGGTGAAGGAGGTGGGGTTCCTCCCCAGGCCGGTGCTTCTCCAGCTCGTCAGCCTCACCTCGACGCTATGTTCCTTCGGCCTCGCTGTGCTGGTGGCAGCATCCGGACAGCAGCAGGTGGCCAGGCCCTGATGCGGTACCACATTGGTCGCACTGACTGACGACTGGGCCCTGCTGTCCGCTACTCTGTGCTTCCTTCATATGTGCTCCATGGTCACGCTCATGGCCTCGCTTCCCCGCGAGCCCCAGTGGCTAAAGGCCAGAGAGGCGACAGAGATGCCAGCTGCTTCACATAAGAGAGCGGTCACTACTTGGTACAAGCAGTCGTCCTGTGGACCTTCCTTGATACTGCAGACATTTTTCTGTCTAGTACAGGAACCACCTGGAGCCACTGAGGGACCCAGGTCATCACGAACTTGCATTTCAGAAGATTGTAGCAGCCAGATCTTTGGATTTGTTTGTCTGACACCTGACTGGTGACAGGCTGTGTGTGGGCCAGGCCAGCCGTGTGTCTCTAGCATAGACCTGTCATTTTCCCCTTCCCTTTCCTCTAACATGGGGACAAGCATCCACCCCTGTGACCCACAGGATTCAGCTCCGAGAGCAAGGGCCTGCTGTCTTGTGTTGGGCTCATTGAGCTGCACGTGACTGACATAGTAGCGGGGCCGTCAGCGTGACTGCACCTTCCCGCAGTGAGCCTCAGTATCCGCAGCTTTAAAATGGACACAGCAGAGGCATACTCTGAATCTCTGCGAGTTCTTGACTTCCTGCCTGCCCCATGCTGCCCAGCGGTGATTCTGGTGGCGGTCATTCCTGGCAGGAAGTTTGCCAGGTAGGGCAGCTCTGAATGAACCTACCTGTTCTCTCTGCAGGAGGAAGTGCTCCGGAATAGCTTCCAGGACTTGGCCACTGAAGTTGCTCCCCTGTACAAGCAGCTTGCCCCCCAGGCCTATCAGAATCAGGTACCGGAGCCTGGACCTTTGTCTGTCTCATACTCAGGTTCTCTGAAGCTGGAAAGCGGGAGAGCTCAGCCTAGCGGTTTCCTAGAGCCATTGTGTGCTTTCTAAGATGCCTTGTTTATACAGCTTGCACTAGCTCTCCATCCCCTCTCCCTGGTCGTCCCCTGGCACCTCTGGCCTGGCTTCCTCGGCAGAGGTTTGAGTTCCTCTCCACCTAGGCTAGCACAGTTGAGCTAACCTAGGAGAGAGTGATTCCTTCAGGTTTTGGGCGTCTCAACTGGAAAAGCATCTTCTCATGGCCCAGAATCGCAAGGCAGTTGTGAACCTTAACCTGCTTTTCACTGAGACCTAGATCCCAGGTACAGCATCAGGACGAGTCACTTGGCCTCCTGAACACTGTTCTTGACCTTCACACAGGTGACCAATGAGGAAGTGGCAATCGACTGCCGCCTGGGGCTGAAGGAAGGGCGGCCCTTCTCAGGGGTCACAGCCTGCATGGACTTCTGTGCCCACGCCCACAAGGACCAACATAACCTCTACAATGGGTGCACAGTGGTAAGGAAGCCTGGGTCCAGTGGAGGAAGCCAGCTATGGGTTTGCTCGTTATAGGGAAGGACGTAGAACTGGATTCTCAGAGTCCTGGCTAGCGTTGGCTAGATGACCTGCTCCTGCCCTTCTTTGGAGAAAACCCTCGCAACAGTAGGTGGACTGGTGACTGGAGTCGTATGAGGAACCAGAGCCTACGGGTGCATTTACTCAGAGATGAGGTTTGCGGATGAGACACGGAAGAGTCTTCCATGCGATGCCGCTAGGCTGCACTGGTTGTAGATAGAGCAGGCAGGAGAGAGAGGACTTGGAGAGTGGGAGTGGCTCTCCAGAGGTGTGAGTGCTGGAGAAGAGGGGCGGTTAAGACTGGCTGAGGTGGGGACCCCCTCAAGGGAACGGTGCTGGAGCCATGCTTACTTTCAGCTGGACTGCAGAAGGCTGGAGGCTCAGACCTGAAATGCTAGAAAAAGGGTGGGGCCTCTAGGATAAAGAGAGCTGCAGGATGGGGACACTGGGGAGCCCGAAGGAGCAAAGTACTGGTAGGTCACCTGACCTCCCCGCTCCTGTGATCTTTACTACTTAAAGATTAACTATTAGTCGCAAAATTTCTGTAAGTTTTCATGTCTTAAAATTTGTACATGTGCATGCCAGCGGGTCTGCACATGCGGGCAGCTATGAGTGCATGGAGGTCAGAGGTCAGCCTCTTGTCTTCCTCAGAAGCTGTCTGCCTTTGGGGGTTATAGACTTATTCTTAAGTCAGAGTCTCTTGGTACTTGGAGCTGGGCAGTTAGGCTGGTGGCCAGTAAGATGAGATCCACTTATGCTTGGATTTTTAATGTGGGTTCTGAGGATCTAAACCCAGCTCTTTGAGTTTGCACAGCAATAGCATTATGCACTGAGCCCCATCCCCTCGTGATGAAAACTTTCGGAGTTGGGACTTGGAGAAGTGGCTTAGCTGCTAAGAGAACTTGCTACCCTTTCAGATACCCCAGTTTATTTCTCGGCAGCCTGTAACTCCAGCTCCAGGGAGTCTGATGCCCTCTTCTGGCTTTTGTGACACCTGTGGCATATATTCACATGGGCACAGACACACTTATAAATAAAAAATAATAATAATTTAAAAGAAAACCAAGTTGCTGGATCGTGGTGGAGCACACCCTTAATCCCAGCACATGGGAGGCAGCAGCAGGCAGATCTCTGTGAGTTCGAGGCCAGCCTGGTCTACAGAGCAAGTTCTAGGACAGCCAAGACTACACACAGAGAAACCCTGTCTCAAAAACCAAACAAAGAGACAGAAAACTTGTCTGAAATCTTGTAAAGAAAGCCACAGTCAGCATTTGGTGGCCATCTCTTCAGACAGCTGTGTGTGACCACGGCCATGTACAGCTATATAAAACTCCACGTACACGGGGCCACAGCGTGTCTGCCTGCTGTCCCTGGGCGTGCTTTTCATAACTAGTGCTATTAAATGTGTTGAAGCCTCATGTGTAGCTCTGATGCCTGCTATTTAACCAGTTCCCCCACCGATGGCCACTTGGTGATGGATTGCACACAGTTCCCCCACCCATGTGCCATGAGGAGGCCCTGCAGCTCTGTGCTGGAGGCCCGGTGTACAGTGACAGTCACAAGTTTTAGTACTTGCTCTGTGACACCGACTCCTGCAGTCTCTAATCTCCATCTGCTTCAGTGAGGTGTGCCTCTTACACACCTAGACACTGAAGAGGCGGAAAGTCTTGCCCGCTTTCTCTTGCCCCTTTTAATCTCATCTTTGAGGGTACCCCCATCTGTGTCCTTTGCTTATTTTTTAATCATGATTGTGGTTGCTGACAATCATAAGGTTTCTTAGGTGTGTTAGGGATAGAGGCAGCTCCCATAATGCCTCCCCCTTTGTTGTATTTGACTTTTGCTCTGGTGTTGGTGGCATAGGGTGTTAGAGAAGGGGAAAGGCACAAGACTGAGGGCCAGTTGCAGCTGGAATATAGGCAGACGTCGGGTCCCTAGAAGGCAGTCTGAAGACTGACTTGTGCTCTGGGAAGAGCCAAGCTGGGGAGAGTGACACCCAAGTGGGGACCTGAGCAGTCATGGAGTCAGCACGGTGACAGTCTAAAGCTTCTGTTTGGCTCGTAGAAGAACACAGTGAAAACAGAAAGAGCAGTACCAAATGGACAGCTCACCATCTTTGACTAAACAAAGCTGGTCCCAGAACAGCAGTGGTGTGTGTGTGGAAGCATGTGTAGTTGGGCATACATGCCGCAGAGCAGGTATGGGCCCTTTCCTCAAGGGGTATCACCTCCTGGGTGTTGGGATGAAAGGCGTGTTCTGAGGTCATTTTTAATAAAAAGAAAGGTTACCTTAGAAGCAAAGGAGCTGAGCGGTCAGGATTCAGGGAGAAGGTTTTGCCCATTAGTGTGGCACAGCACCACAACAGTGGACTACGGGCAGAGCAGGTCCCCTCGTCCCAGGTGAGCCACACTGGGGTATAAGAGGTAATGCGTAACTGAGCCTCTGAAAGCTGCCCCTCAGGCGCTGTGCTGTTAGTTTTTAGAACCTTGTGGTCAGGAGAGTGCGATGGGACAAGGTGAATGGCTGGTGGTAGGACTTTGTGGAGGTCACATGGTTGTAAGCCCAGGCCCCTCTCTCCAAACATGGACTCCAGTTCCATCTCTCCCTGTGGGGCAGGTCTGCACCCTGACCAAGGAAGACAATCGCTGCGTGGGCCAGGTCCCCGAGGATGAGCAGCTGCACGTACTACCCCTCTACAAGATGGCCAGCACGGATGAATTTGGCAGTGAGGAGAACCAGAATGCCAAGGTGAGCAGCGGGGCCATCCAGGTGCTCACCGCATTCCCTAGAGAGGTCCGGCGTCTGCCTGAGCCTGCCAAGTCTTGCCGCCAGCGGCAGCTAGAAGCCAGGAAGGCAGCAGCTGAGAAGAAAAAACTGCAGAAGGAGAAGCTGAGCACACCAGAGAAGATCAAGCAGGAGGCTCTGGAGTTGGCTGGCGTCACCACTGACCCAGGTAAGCAAAGGGGTACTATAGCACAGGTGTGGGCCCTGTCCTCAAGGGGTATCACCTCCCCCTCACGTCACACTGGCCACTTAGGAGGGGAGGTCCTGAGGACTCTGTCTATCAGAAAGGAGTCTTATGAAGCACCAGGCACAGCGTTTGGCTTCTCCAGTGAGCGCTCAGTGTGTCTGGGGAGAAGGCCGTTATTTCAGAGTCCACGATAGGAAGTGGCTGTGAGTGTCTGAGCGCCCACTCCCCCCTGACAGGAGTCCTCCGCTGTGACCTTAAGCCCACACTTGGGAAGGTGAGCTTCAGTTGAAGCTAAGGCATTTTCTGGGGTCAGACAGAGTGATGGCAGAGCGGACATGGCCTCTCCACAGCTATCTCTCTTCACCTTGAAGTTTTTTGGGGATTCCCAGGGAACAAGTCCCAGCTGGGCTTGAACTCACCTCAGCACCTCATCCATCCTGGCTCTGCAGAGAGAACAGCTCTCAGGCAAGGAAGGCGGTTCTAGCCCTGTCCATTGCACCTAGACCTTGCCAGGCTGTGGTGTCTGCCCCCGTTTCTACCTTGCCTTCTGCCTTCCCCAGGCCTGTCTCTGAAAGGCGGATTATCACAGCAAAGCCTGAAGCCCTCCATCAAAGTGGAGCCTCAAAACCACTTCAGCTCCTTCAAGTACAGTGGCAATGCAGTGGTGGAGAGCTACTCGGTGCTAGGCAGCTGCCGGCCCTCCGACCCCTACAGCATGAGCAGTGTGTATTCCTACCACTCTCGCTATGCACAGCCCGGCCTGGCCTCCGTCAACGGCTTCCACTCCAAGTACACACTTCCCTCCTTCGGCTACTATGGCTTTCCATCTAGCAACCCTGTCTTCCCCTCCCAGTTCCTAGGCCCCAGTACCTGGGGACACGGGGGCAGCGGGAGCAGTTTTGAGAAGAAGCCAGACCTCCATGCTCTACACAACAGCCTGAACCCGGCCTACGGTGGTGCTGAGTTTGCCGAGCTGCCTGGCCAGGCTGTTTCCACAGATACCCACCACCCCACCCCTCACCACCAGCAGCCTGCTTACCCAGGCCCCAAGGAATATCTGCTACCCAAGGTCCCCCAGCTCCACCCAGCATCCAGGGACCCCTCTCCCTTTGCTCAGAGCTCCAGTTGCTACAACAGATCCATCAAGCAGGAGCCGGTAGACCCTCTGACCCAGGCTGAGCCTGTGCCCAGAGACTCTGGTAAGATGGGCAGAACACCCTTGCCCGAGGCATCTCAGAATGGGGGACCCAGTCATCTGTGGGGACAGTACTCAGGAGGCCCAACCATGTCCCCCAAGAGGACTAACAGTGTGGGTGGCAACTGGGGAGTGTTCCCTTCTGGGGAAAGCCCCGCCATTGTTCCAGACAAGCTCAATTCTTTTGGGGCCAGCTGTCTGCCCCCTTCACACTTCCCAGACAGCCAGTGGGGACTGTTCACTGGCGAAGGCCAGCAGTCGGCCCATCCTGGAGAACGGCTTCGAGGCAAACCCTGGAGCCCCTGCAAGTTTGGGAACAGCACTTCGGCCTTGACTGGTTCCAGCCTGACTGAGAAGTCGTGGGGGGTTGGAGCAGGGGATTTCAGCTCTGCCCTTAAAGGTGGTCCTGGATTCCAAGACAAGTTGTGGAATCCTGTGAAAGTCGAGGACGGAAGGATTCCCACACCGGGGGCCAGCCAGCTGGACAAAGCCTGGCAGGCCTTTGGCATGCCCTTGGGCCCCAGTGAGAAGCTGTTTGGGGCCCTGAAGTCGGAGGAAAAGCTGTGGGATCCATTCAGCCTGGAGGAGGGGACAGCTGAAGAGCCCCTAAGCAAGGGGGTGAAGGAAGAGAAGAGTGGCCCAGGAATGGAAGAGGAAGAGGAGGAGCTGTGGTCAGACAGCGAACACAACTTCCTGGATGAGAACATTGGCGGAGTGGCTGTGGCCCCTGCCCACTGCTCCATCCTCATCGAGTGTGCCCGGCGAGAGCTTCATGCCACCACACCACTCAAGAAACCCAACCGCTGCCACCCCACCCGCATCTCGCTGGTCTTCTACCAGCACAAGAACCTCAACCAGCCCAACCACGGGCTGGCGCTCTGGGAGGCCAAGATGAAGCAGCTGGCTGAGCGGGCGCGGCAGAGGCAGGAGGAGGCTGCGCGCCTGGGCCTGGGCCAGCAGGAGGCCAAGCTCTATGGGAAGAAGCGCAAATGGGGGGGTGCTATGGTGGCTGAGCCCCAGCACAAAGAAAAGAAGGGGGCTGTCCCCACCCGGCAGGCGCTGGCCATGCCCACAGACTCAGCGGTCACCGTGTCCTCTTACGCCTACACAAAGGTCACTGGCCCCTACAGCCGCTGGATCTAGGTGCCAGGAGCCAGCGTACCTCAGCGTCGGGCCCGGCCCGAGCTGCCTCTGTGGTGCTTTTGCCCTCATGCCCGGGGGCGGGTTGGGGGTGCAGAAGTCTCTCTATATCTACATATATGGATATGCCTATCATATATATGTATTTATGGTCCAAACCTCAGAACTGACCCGCCCCTCCCTCCCCTACTTCCCCAGCACTTTGAAGAAGAAACTACGGCTGTCGGGTGATTTTTTTTTCGTGATCTTAATATTTATATCTCCACATTGTTTTTATTTTTCCCCTTGTTTTGAGGGGCTTTTAATTTCTCTTTGTTTTTAAAACTTTATCCTTGTATATCACAATAATGGAAAGAAAGTTTATAGTGTCCTTTCACAAAGGAGCGTAGTTTTAAATTCCATTTAAAATGTGTATTTATTGGGTTTTTTTTAAAGTGACAATAGTAATGGTTACAGATGGGCAGGAAAGGCCGTCAGTGCTTCCTGCTGGGCGAGCCCAGTCTCCTGGAAGCTGCAGGTTTTCCCAGCTATCTGCCCCCCACAAACCAAGGTTAGCATGTAGCCCTGGTCTATCCCTCCTTCCCACAGGCCGGGGAGCCTTTGGGACCACCCCGTTCCCCTCTGTGGAATGGGAGAAGCTGTAGACATCTGGGGGCCCGGCCTGGAGATGCTGGTGTTTGATGTCCCCAGAAACCAGGTTGGAAGTAGACAGCTTCAAGCTTGCTAGTCTCCACACTGAATCCTCTCTGTCCGTTATTTATCAAGTCATATGATGTCCTGGTTCACTAGGCAGCACCTCACGCTGGAGCAGGAGTCGAGAGGCTCCTAGGAGCCCTTCCCGTCTCATTGGTAAAGCCAGTGAGTACCGGGCTGAAAGAGGCTTAGTGGCAGTTTCTTTACAAAATCGCCCCAAAGTTTGTCGATACTGAAAAAGGGCTACTGTATCTTTGAAAACAAGAAGTTGAACCCAAGCTGTGAAGAGCCAGCATGCTGTGCGGTGCTGTATGGTGCGGTGCCGTGCAGTGCTGTGTGGTGCTGTGCAGTGCCGTGCGGTGCTGTATGGTGCGGTGCTGTATAGTGCGGTGCAGTGCCGTGCGGTGCTGTATGGTGCGGTGCTGTGTGGTGCAGTGCTGTGTGGTGCAGCGCTGTTCGGTGCTGGAGCCTGGTGCTGTACGGTGCTGTGCGGTGCTGTGTGGTCCTGTACGGTGCTGTGCGGTGCTGTATGGTGCGGTGCTGTATGGTGCGGTGCTGTGTGGTCCTGTACGGTGCTGTGCGGTGCTGTATGGTGCGGTGCTGTGTGGTCCTGTACGGTGCTGTGCGGTGCTGTGTGGTGCTGTGCGGTGCTGTATGGTGCGGTGCTGTGTGGTGCGGTGCTGTGTGGTGCAGTGCTGTTCGGTGCTGGAGCCTGGTGCTGTACGGTGCTGTGCAGTGCTGTATGGTGCTGTGCGGTGCTGTATGGTGCAGTGCTGTACGGTGCTGTGTGATGCTGTACAGTGTGGTGCGGTGCTGTGCCGTGCTGTGTGGTGGTGTGCGGTGCCGTGTGGTGCTGAGCCTGGTGCTGTAGTATTGTGCTGGGACTTTTCTGACTCTCAGGGCAGGTGGCATCCTGCCAGAGCTCAGCAAGCCAGTGTGATGGCAGGTCACTCATCGTCCTTATTCCTGGATCTTCACATGGGACAATGGTGCAGTCCTCCCAAGCCCTCGCAGGGCATGGCCTACACTTCATTTAAAGTGCAAGGGTCAGGCGTTTTCAACAGGTTGCTAATGCTTTCCTCCTCTGAGGAGGCCAGTTCTCCATTGGATCTTTCTCTCTTCCCTCCTCTTCCACCTCCCATGTAACACACCCATTCTAAAATCCTGGTGCATTCATTTGATCTTTGAAATGAGAGCGTTGGTGCTTTAATTTCTGTGATGTTGTCGAGAGAGGTTGGGCCTGACAGGCAGAAGCGGCGCCGGTCTGCAGCGAGTCAGAATTTATGGTGTGTTCATTTTCCGATGCTGTTAGCCATGTTACCCAGCTGCTCGTGTGGACGTGTGTGGTGAGTGGGGGAGGGGGCTTCATCAGGACACACACAGAGTAGCGGCCAATCCCTGAGACAGCATTTTTCAAGTACTTCTAGCCAGGTGTGGTCTTCATAGACGGAGCGTAGCAGTCCCACGACAATGCTGAAGGCAAGTCCGAGTCCCCGAGCTTCGCGGTGCCTTGTGCCAGAGCTGAGAGCCGAGCGGCTGGGTGTTGACGGTAGCCCTTCGGAAGCACTGGCAGAGAGTGCTAAAAGGTGTCCTGAGCATTTTTGTGGTCTGGTTTTAACTGTAAATAGTGAAAGATTTTTTTAAGCACTTTTGCCTAGATTTAAACAGCAACTTGAAAAGAATAAAAAGTACATTTTAACATGGAATTGTGGGAGAAACTGTAAATAGTAGCTGCATATTTAACGTGCTTTGTCAATCCACCTTTACCATATTCTGTAAAGTTGCAATTATTTTACAGGACAGAAAAATGAAATATTATTGCTTTTGAAATAAATACCCAAGAGCTTATCAGGATTTAGAATTATTCAGAATTCAGATTTATAGGAAAGCCTCTGACCTTCTGTTTCACAAGCTAAAGGAGTCAGAGTCTCTAAGGCGCATGCTAATTTTCTAGTTTTGAGGGAAAGTTGGGTCCTTTAAATGCTATTTTGCTTAAATCGCATCAGTGCTTTTACGCAGGTCTCATCTGACTCCGTGCTTAGGTAGATACGGGGGTGCCTTGAAAAACTTCATTTTAAATAATCTTAAATATGATATTTTACAAAGCATTTGGAGAATGTGACCGTGTATACGGCCCGTGGAAGCCCCAGGTTGGCTGTTGGCTTGCAAGGTCCCAAGTGTGGTCCAGGTGATTCTGATGTCGGCAGTGTGTGGATCTCTCTGACGTGTATTCAGTATGCTCCAACCCTCCTCACCATTTGGTAGCAAAGCCATTAGATGAATGGAGAAACCAGTACAAGCTCAAAAGCATGTGACGTCCATCCCCCAAGCCTGCACAGCCTTGGTTCAGAAGCTCTAGGCCAGGACACAGGCTGCTGTGAGGTGAGGCAAAGGCGTTCTGTGTTGGCCTTTCGGGTCATGGCGAGCGCTGTTTCGGGGCTCGGTGCTGTGGCTGCTGTGCTTGAGCCCATGCTGACTTTCACACACTACATGTATAACCTACCTCAACTCTGTCGTTGAAATGAGCATGCTTTAGACGTGTATTTAAGACGTAACTATGCACAGTTCTCTATCCCCCACCCCTTGCTGCTGAAGGCTTCTTAAAGAGAAAAATCAAAATTTTTATTTTTTACTGGCACTATCATTTTTTAAGTCCTGAAGATGATTGACAAGACATTTTTATCATGAGAAGAGAAAAAATAAAGCCATTGCAACTCAAGAACCTGACAGCGTGAGCGAGTTTTAAGAGTACCATTATAGCAAGGGAGATGATGGCATTGAAGTCCGCTCCCAGTGTGCCCGTCCATGGCCACAGTCCACATACAGCGTTTGGTGTCCCCTCCCCCTTTGTTTTGTTTTGCTTTGTTCTGTTCTCCCTGACTGCTGTGCGAGAGGACTTGGGAAGTTGTATCCCAAGAGATTTTCTTTTGTAATAACAATCGCTTTGCAGCAGGTTCTCACAGAATAACCGGTGCTCGCTGGAGAAGCCACCTGTCAGTAGCTCCGCTGAGGGTGGCGCACGGATTGAAGGGTTCAGCTTGGGGTCTGGTTTTTAGCAGAGCCTACGCACCTGACCCCCAGCCCTCCCGGGTGCTGCTTTGTCTCTTCACCGAGGTGGCCCTGGTGCATGGGAAGGGCTTCTGCCTTCTCTGGGCCTCCACCTGCTTTTGGGGAAACGGCGGCTTGCAGGGCTAGGGGTTTGGGTGCTAGACGGAAGAACAGAAGTAGCAGCGCTCTGTTGCTTCGTGGCTATGGCAGTGGATGTGTGAGGGCGGTTGACAGTAGCTGAACACCGTGTCACAGAGCGAGGAGTTCCTGACTGCCTCGAGGTGTCAAAGCAAGGCCGAGCTGGTGGAACACTGACATACCCTGATGTGCCTCAACCAATCTCCTTCCTTTCGTTACTGAAGTGTGTTTTCTGGACTTGGAAGCATTTTTATGAATTGAAATAGTCTAATAAATGGTGCTATGGTGTTTCAATGTGACTGTCCCTGATCTTGTCTCCCTGAGGTGCTATCAACGTTTGAAACCACAACCAACCAAAAACAAGGTGGGCTCTGTCTCTCGGCTTTTCTTTCCTTCTCTTTGGGTGCTGTCTTTGTAGACCTCTGTTTACTGCGCTGTGTCTGCTCGGAGCAGTGTTCTGGCTTTGTTGGTTTTGTTTGTTTTTGCTTTTTTTTTTGTTTTGGTTTGGTTTGGTTTTTTGTTGTTGTTTCCCTTGGTGGCCAAAGCTAGGCACACAGAGAAAGGAGCTTGCTCCTCCTAAGGACGGCAGTGGCCTGCCTGCCTGGGTGGGCTCTATGGGTTTGTGCTATCTTCTCAGGCCATATTAGAAAGGGGTGGTGGCTTTTAGGAAGGAGAGTCAGGCCCTGCCTCTTCTGGTATGGCAGGTATTCTCTTGTGGCCCAGGGTGCTAACCCCAGAGGGGCCAGGCTGAGGTCCAGGGGGAATGCCTTCACCTGGCCCCAGTGGGGACAGGGTGGGCAAGCCTTTGGTTCTCGCCACTCCCTGATAGCTCCTGGTGCTGAGACTAAAGGCAGGTGCTTTCATTGTCCCTGATGCCACCACGGCTTTTAGTTGGTGCTAAACTTCTCCTGTGTCCACATAAGCTGATGTAACTTTTAAGAACTCGACAGGAAGCTCCATTTTTATATCATTCACTGTCACAATTTTTTTTAAAATACCTCAAAAACAGGACATTGTGACAACTTAGATTCCATGAGGGTGTGACACCCGAAGGTTGTCCATTAAATGACTTCCTTGCCCTCTACACAGCTGAGATCACTCTCTCTGCTCATCAGCAGTAAATGGCAGAGTGCCCAAGGGAAAGAGTGTGGTTGGATTGTTTTCATACTTTAGTTTTGCTTTTGAATAAAATGTGAATCTACTTTGCCCATCTCATCGCGCTTTCTGTCACGGTTGCTGTCATTTGAAAACTCCCACACCTGGTTTTATCTGCTGTCCCTGCCAGGCAAGCTTCACCACATACCCTGGACCAAAATAACACATTGGCAGTGCATGACCCAACCCAGGCTCGCAGCTCCACTCACGCCCATCTTCACCGAAGCGCTGCCTTCCTGGCAGCGCTGCCCAAGAGGGCAAAGCAATAGGCTTCTCACCTGAGCAGAGGGAAGCGGCATAGAAGCCGGGCTCTGGACTGTGTGCCTAAGGATCAGTGAGCTGTTTGGCCTGCTCCACGTTTGCTTCTGTTCTGATATCAGGGATGCTTTCTGTAGGGTGTCGTTCATGCGCTCCTCGCTCTGACTGCCCATCATTCAGGGGGAACCCTCGCTCTTCATATGGGGACTTCAGATATTAATCGGCTCATCTGGACATCCCAAATTTTCTTGATTCCGATGCAGGTTTGTTTGTTTGTTTGTTGTTTGTTTTTGAGGGGGGAAAGACAGACAGGAGTGGTGTCATTTCTTTTCTCGCGTTTAAAGAAGCAAGGACCGGCTATCTCAGCATTCTAATGCTTTAGACTTGATCTAGAACCCTTGTAGCTTTTGGATGTGTTTTATTTCTTATCTCTTTGAATTCCTGTTTGGTTACCTGGCTTCCAATGGAGGTGAATTTAACAACCATACTTGAATATTCCGTCTTGACTTTGTAAACTGTGGCTACTTGAAATGAAGTTTATCTGGGGTTGATGGATGAATGGTAGGTTTTTGCAATGTCTCAAGGCAATAGGATGTGTATTATTAAACTGTAGATATCTTAGTACAGTAAATTTATGCTAATAATTTTATTTTGTATAATTTTTACCTTTTTGTTAATATTTTCCTTCCACTTTATTGGTTTGTCTCCTGAGCTACCGCCTTCCTTTCCCTTTCCTTCTCCCCCAGTGTTTCAGTAAATTTAATTTAGGGTGCCTAGAAATTGCAAGTATGTATCCTTTTTTGATTTGTATTTTATTATAATTTACACAAACAACTGGGTTTGTGAACTGTATTACTCCTGGCATCTTTAAAATATTGTGGGTGTTTTAATAAATTTTATATTTATTTTTTGCACTCAAATTCTGTGTGAGCTCTTTTTTTTTCATCTCTCTCACCTTGAGCCAGAACTAAATTGTGACATAAAGGTACCCTGAGGTCTTGCCCTTCTGTATGTATTATAGATACCCAGATGAAGGCTGCCTCAGAGCAGTGAGGGACCTGCTCTCACCTTGCTTGGGCCTATCATCTGAGCAGATGGAGAGCAGAGCTCTGGGGTGCCCTTGGTCAGCTTTTCTCTGCTTTTCCCCCTTCTAGTCAGTTTGGATTCAGCTGTCCGCACTGCCACCTTAGAGCCGCTAGGAACCGTCACACGCTGGTGGGTTCTGAAGACTGACACAGCCGAGTAGTGAGATGCAAAGCTGGGCCCAGCTTCTGCTGTCCCTGGACAGAGGGGGTGCCTTTGGTCCAGGCTGCAGTTCTGGCAGTGGCTGGGTTTGGGGAAACTGAGCTGAGAAAGAAGGATAAATGGGCAGGAAGCTCTGCCCTATGCTCGTCCATTTCCTCTGCCTAAAATGTCCCACCAAGCAGATCTAGCAGCAGAAATCAGCCACCCAGCAAACTAGAGGTTCAGTGATTTTGCCAGAGGAACCTTCTAGAAATGCCCAGGCACACTGTCCAAGGTCCTGTTTATATCTATGCACCATATGCCTGGTACCCTCAGAGGGCAGAAGAGAGTGTTGGATTCCCTGGGACTACAGGTGGTTGTGAGGCACCATGTGCATGCTGGGAATTAAACCCAGGTCCTCTGAGAGCAGCCAGTATCCATCTCTCCAGTGGCCCCCCCCCCCTCAACACACCAATTTTGGTTTTGTTTTTCTGCTTCCAATTGCATTTGAAGTTCAGTTAAGTGTCTCATTTAACCCAACTTCCTGGTCTATCCTGATCTTCATTTTGTCGCCACCCCTACCTAGCCACACTGCTTGGTCAACAACTTTATTGAAAGTTCTACTGCTGGTAGGACCGGAGAGGTGACGTAGAAGTTAAGAACACTTACTGTTCATTCAGGGAACCTGAGTGTTCGGTTCTTAGCACCCTCATCAGGCAGGGTCTATAACTCCGGCTCCAGAAGATCTAGTGTTCTCTTCTGGTCTCTGTGAGTATCTATGTACACGCATACATGCATGCGCGCACACACACACATACACACACACACACACTGCAAAAGCAGCTCCTCTGATGAGGGTTTAGAGATGTTGTGGTCTATGACTAAAGTGGTCATTAGGAGTTATTTTAGTACTATATCTACTCAGCAGAATAACAATATTAGGTTATCTCCCCTGGGGCTTATGCCCTATCTAGATCCAAGTTCTTGGTCCCATTAGCAGTGCCAGGCATGGGTTCTATCTAATGGATTGGCCCTTAGAGCCAATCAGAAAATGGTTGGTTACTCCCACGATACTCTCACCACTGTTGCGCAGTGGGTAGATATTGGCAGACTACTAGTTACTGTGGCTGGCAGGGTTCACGGCTGGGTGACTACTCTCCTCCAGGACCATCCCTAGTAGACTCTGAAAGCTAGCCAGTTGGGATGAAGCTTCCAGGTGAGTACAGTTCGATTTTTCCGGATTGTGTGATTCAGGTATGTGCTGTCTTAAGCATTAAGGTTTTACCATAAGTGCACAGGATAACCAAGAGTATTGACAGTAGCCTATGATGCTTAGGGGCCGAGGGGACCCTGCTGGCCAACAACTTCTTAAAAAGAAAAACCCTCACATGGTCAGCATGCAGGGAATAAGAAACTGCAGAGGGCTGTCCTGAAATGGAGTGTTCATAGCACATGCGCACACATGCATCAGGTGGTGTTGTGCAAGGGGGGAAAGAGTGTAAGCCCCAGAAGTGGTGAGTGACTGCGAGGACATGGTATTTCCAGACAGCAGGCGAGCAGTTACACAGAACTCACTGGCAGTTGTGACAGCATGCACAAGACCATACAGTCTCAAGCCAGACAAAATCCCAGCATGCACAGGGAAGTTGGCACAAAATCCCGCCACTCTGAGGCGCTTTGGCCTCTGATAGCTGCCGGGAGAGGGGGTCCGTTTTCTTTAAAGCCATGGCTGCACTCCCAAGGGTAGTGGGTGGACTGCACAAACTGCACTTGACGGGAAGGAAACACCAAGTTGAGTGGGTAGGGAAGTGAGCGTGGGGCGGGCAGGTAGAGGCGCTGGGTGAGGGGAAGGGAGTGTGGAGTTCCCAAAGAATTGATAAAATCTTATTTTTAAAACTTTACTGCTGGCCCTGCAGACTGCTTAACCTTGAAGAATTGTCAGTCGCCTCACCTGAATACTCTGCAAAGAAGAGAGAGACCTTCAGCATCCTGGAGGAGACCGGAAGAGGGGTTCAATCCCCCAACCAGTGGTGTGCCTGTCAGCATCTCCAGAACGCCAGATAAGACGAGGAGGGTCTTGTGCAGCTGCAGATGTTTAGCGCCACCTGCACCTTGGGCAGTTGTGCAGACACGCCCTGCCCTAGGAGTCCCCACCTCCACCCTCCACGCTGCCTTCATCCCCGACACACGCTCATCTCTGCCCCAGCCTCAACCATGTGAGCAGCTCAGGGAGGTGTCTCGTGGCTCACCCCACCCCACTCCACCCCTGCAGCTTCTCATCCAGAGCTCGCGGGTTCTACTGTCTGTGCCATGTCCTGTCACACTTCTGCAGCTAGACATGCCTTTGGCTTCAGCTTAGACCCCGTCCACTCCTCTGTGCTCTTGTTTCTGCACAGAGCTATCTTCAGGCAGGCTAGGAACCTGGTCCTCGCTGACTTTCTCTGAAGGACTACACTTCCCTAAAACCCTCTGGTCCTGGGGGGTCCCAGGCGCCTGCAGTCTTCCTATTACCTCAAGACAATCCCTTCACAAGGCAGCCCACCAGACATATGCAGCCCACAGCCATGCACCCAGAATTGCTCTAATGTGGCCCTGAGGCATGGATAGAAATCATGACAGGCTTTTTGACATTTTTTCCTATTTTTACTTCCTTTTATTATATTTGGTGGGGGGAGACCAGGAGAGATGTGTGCTTGCTGAGTGTATAGAGGTTAGAGGCCCACTTCTAAGAGTGAGTTCTCTTCCTCCACATGGGCTGCAGGGATCTAGCTCAGCTCTTAGACCATCAGGACCAGCGAGGCCAACTACGCTTGTGCCAGCTGAGTTACCTCCCGGGTCTGGCAACTGTCTGAGGACCCAGTCGCATGGTTTTGGAGTGTGAACTTTAGATCACAGTGTTGTGTTGCAGTGTCCAAACCTCAGACACCAATGCAGGCCTTCCCTCCGAGACCCTTCCTTGCTCAGCTGCCTGGCCTCAAGTGTGACCACCAGTACCAAGGCTGTACAAAACCGTGTCTTGCCCTGGTCCCCTGGTGACTCTGGACTGCCGTGTGGTGCTCCATGGCTATGTGCCAGAGCTGAAGTTACAGGTGCCGTGAAATCCAAGTCGCCTTCACGTTGCCAGATTCCCCAGCCACACCCCGAGTGTCCTCAAGCTGCTCTTCCCTGGTACGGTTAGCCCACAGTAGACCCTGGAGCTGGCTACGGACGACTTCACAAACTAGCACAGGCCCTATCACTACCAGACACCTTGCTCCGTGGGTAGAGGCGTGCTGGAAGCGGGCCACGGCAGACCCCTCCAAAGCTGGGGCCCAGACGGTTCTTCACACTCTGGTCTAAATTTGGAAAGATACATTCTTATGTGCCACACACACACATAAGAACTCGAGTTCAGATGCCCAGAGCACCTATAGACTCAGCACGGAAGATGCTGGTAAAAGTGCTTGTCGCCAAGCCTGGTTCAGTCCCCAGGACTCAGCGGAAGAAAGAAGCAACATAGGGAAGTTTCCTCTGACCTCCAGTGTGTGCTGTGGCACCATGTGTATGCACACATACAACACATTACGATTTTCAAAAGAAAACTATTGGCAGGTGTGGTGGCACATATGTCTTTGATCCCCTCACTCAAGGCAGAGGCAGGTGGATCTCTGAGTTCAAGGCTAGCACTGCAGGAGCTCCTCCTCCTTCAGCCAACAGCCACTGAGATACCAGCCCACTGGGGCGTGGTCTCTCTTTTAAAAAGCAGCGATTGCCCTCCGCTTGCTCTCTTGCTTCCGGATCCCGGCTCTGCTTCCGGCTACTAGGCTCCTTTCCTGATCGTGCAGAGGGCTGTTGTCTGGGAAGGTGATCTGTAAGTTTTTTCCCCTTTAAATAAATAACCATTCTATTAATCATAATTCCGAACCGGTGTGGAACTGTTTGTGACTTACGCCTTCAGGCTAGCCTGGTGTACATAGTAAGTTTCAGAACAGCCAAAGCTTTATGGAAAGACCCTTTCTCGAAAGAAGGAAGGAAGGAAAGAGGAAGGAAGGAAGGAAGGAAGGAAGGAAGGAAGGAAGGAAGGAAGAAAAGAAGGAAGGAAGGAAGGAAGAAAAGAAGGAAGGAAGGAAGGAAGGAAGGAAGGAAGGAAGGAAGGAGAGAAGGAGAGAAGGAAGGGAAAAACAGAAAGAGAGAAGCACTGCTTGGCTGTAGTGAGCATGCTCTCCACACTCCCCTTCCCCTTCAAGCCTGCTTCCCACTCCTTCCAGGTCAAATCCATCTCCACCATGCCGCTCTCGGGAACCCCGGCCCCGAACAAGAGGAGGAAATCCAGCAAGCTGATCATGGAACTCACTGGAGGTAGGGCATGCTTGTAGCTCCCTAATGCAGGACTTTTAAGTGCACCCCTGACTCAGGAGTCCCAGAAATTACATAAGACTGGTTATAAGTCCGAGTGAAAGTATAAGAGGAATTCCAGCCGTGTGGGGGTGTGGGAGATAGAAGTGATGAGGGAAGTAAGAAGGGCAAAGAGAAAGAGGCAGGAAGAACTCTTTCCACTGACTGCTCCGAAACAATACCCTGCTACACAGCTCAGCCAGGCCCAGGACCACAGGACCATGCTCAGTGAGGTGTATGTGAGGACACAAGCTAGGCC